TTCCATGGATATGGCAGCCATATTGGATTTTGTTGACATATGTTACGTAATTAATACCACACTTTTTTGTCATGGAAATATTGTTGTTGTTTATGCATCTAGATCTACATTTGTACAAATCTTTGTAAACAACAGACATATAAATTATAAATCTGTGTGATGAAATTTTCTTAAACGTGGTAGAAAATGTTTAATGATTTTTGTCCTGAGGTAGACTCTAGTATTGACGTTTGTAAAAAACCTGTGTGAACATCCACGCTCCAGACACCACCTACGTTGGGAACATGTTGTGAAGATTGGAGGAAAAAGGGGGGAGTTATTTTTTAAAAGTATATAGAAAAACCACGTTTGGAGGAAAGGGTCGATGAAGACAAAGAAAAGATTGACTTTGTGAGGAAATGGCGGAGACAAACATGCCTGGTATGGGAAGAAATCAGTCTTGGCGGGTTCTTATGCGATGAAATAGTTGTAGGAGAGGCTGAGGAAGCTAAAACTGCCTACAACTTAGCAATCCATAGGTTTGAGTCGAACCGGGACTTTTGGAGAGTAGCCCCCCTCCCCTTAACAAAGACTTTTCTGGCCCCATCTACCAGAGGTGTGAACCGTCTCAGAGTTATTGCCCCTGATCTTCCTTCACCGGAGAGTCAAGTCCGTCAATGAGCCAGGATATGACACTTGTCTCAAAGTACAATGCTTTTTCTTTTGGGTTGTTTTTTTAAGGGGGGGGGGTAACGTTTAGTAAAGTTCATCGGTTCATTGCCGATTGTCAGACTACCTATGTGTTCCTACTTTCGTTATCTAAATAGGCCAGTGAACAAAGTGGTTGTCGTCGTAGCATCTGTCATCAATGTGTTCTCTTCCTCACCTCTCTTCATCAACAACTGCCTCAGTCACACGACGCATTCGCCGCGGGCCACACTTGTAGTGAGGAGAAGCAAGCTAGATAGAACTAGATCTAGATAATGATGTTGTCTTTTCTTGCTCAAAACTATCGAGACGACCACAATTTGCCTTACGTCATGGGAGACAAAGGAACGCTTATAGGGGGTGTCCACATACGTCATGGGAGACAAAGTCTTGTAGGGGGTGTCCACATACGTCATGGGAGACAAAGTCTTGTAGGGGGTGTCCACATACGTCATGGGAGACAAAGTCTTGTAGGGGGTGCTCACATACGTCATGGGAGACAAAGTCTTGTAGGGGGTGCTCACATACGTCATGGGAGACAAAGTCTTGTAGGGGGTGTCCACATACGTCCTGGGAGACAAAGGAGCTCTTGTAAGGGGTGTCCACATACGCGATCGGGTCGGGTCGGGTCGCTGTGTGGTTTCAGTGCACACTACA